CATTGGCCTTGCCAAAGGTTGACAGAACTGCACTGCAGTCTAAGACTCACCAACCCCTTCTCCTTCCTTCTTTTCCTGACCTGGAGTCAAACCTGCACTTGGTCTCAAGGATCTAGAAGTCTCCCTCAGCTCCTTCCCCATCTTCCCTCACAAACATTTCCCCTAATAAACCTCTTGCACGAGTAATCCCGTATTGGGGTCTGCTTCTCATGGGACCCAAAGTTGACGGTCCTCCAGCAGAGAGTCATAAACCTGGTGGGGACTACGTCAGACTCAGGAACTTCTTAAATAATGAGAAACGAAGTCCCCATCTCAGACCCACAATAGCAGAGTCAAGGGAGGTGCAATTTGTGTTTCTGAATCTTCCAGGTGGCTTACATGTCCGCTGGCCTGCAGTAATCAAGACTTTTCAACCCCCAGCAGGGTAGATTCTGAGGAGTAGGTGCATGGTAAATATTCCCTGAAAAAAAGTCCAAAAGAATATTGCAAAGATTGACAAGTTTGTGCTATTTTGGAACAAAAGGAGCAAAGTGGCATAGTTACTATGATGTGTTCCCCTTTCACCTCAAAGTCCTCCATTTTCTCTTTCATATTGAAATTTTTTTTATTTTCCTCATAGTATTCTGTGAACTGAACTTATATATTTTAACAACAACATGAGGCCCCCTCCAAAAAGAGTTCCATACACAGTACCAGATTTTGCCAACAAGACCCCGAGAAGAGCATCTGTGTCACCCTCGTAACACCCAGCACTGCGGATCTCGTCCCCGTGGCTCTCTTTGCTCTGTCGCTTTCCAAGGGAACCTTGAAAATCGCAAAGGCTTGGTAGTTTGCCCATGTTTTTAAAAGCATTACCTCAGAAATTTCTATTTTGAAAATGATTTTAAAGACACTTTCAAAAACCTCAGGATTGTTAACATTTTCACTCTGATGGCCACTCCTCTCATTTTGAAGGCAGCCAATGGTAGCTGTCACTAGACAATAGGGAAGGTTTGAGGCTTACCCAAGAGGTGCTGACAAGTGCCTTTTTTGAGACAATATTAGGCGTCCGGGTCAGGAAAAGACCATTTACAGAATGTGAAGTCCTCCCTCCACATACTACCACAGCTTCTCCTTGAGTCTAAAATCTCTTCTTGCCTTCTTTTCTAGATTTGTTTCCAAATATACTCCTGTGGTCAAAGAAGAGCTTTCCAGCACATTTCAGTAGCAGCAGCAAGAACGACCCCCACCCCCGACCCCCAACCCCAAGTGCACATTTTTTGTGGGATGCACAGATTTTGCATTCAGTTCTTTGAAATAATTGTCTCATGCTAAGTTGACGTGTTTAAAGTTTTATTTGGAATCCTGAGAGAGTGAAAAGATGTCCAGTTCTATGACTGAACTTTGTGTCAACATTTTGGTCCCGACAAGCCCTCTGCATGACTGGTGGTACCCGTCCTGGTTTTCACTTTGCTCTCTTTGCAACACTTGGCTTCTTTCACTTTGCTCTCTTTACAACACTTGGCTTCTTTCACGCTCATTTCCTCGTTTGCCCATGTCTGTTTCTCACCAGCAGTTCAGGCACTCAGCCCTTGGGGTCCACATGTGGTTCTGTCTTTCAGAAGTTATTCCTCTGAGTCTCGTTCTCCTCTTGGGTTAGATGTGAAAGAGAAAGATCAGGAAAAGAAAATTAGATTTTGAGAGGATTAGGCATGAATAGGAAAATATTCCTGATATGTAGCCTAGTGTTTGAAACTTGGGGTCAATATGGGTCTTCAGGAGTACTGAAAAGGATATCTGATTCTAGGCTATCCCAGCAGGTCAGGAGACTAAGAAACTTGTTGGTGATGTTTGGGAAAGGGCCGGCTTCCAGCAGGGCTTTCAGTCAGTCACACCAGAGGCCTCCCTGCAGCCCTCACATCCCAAAGGCCCACCAGTTCTACACAGGAGGCATCTGCTGCTTCCAGCCATCCCGAACGCTTGCTCAGCTCCAGGTGGAGTGGAGGAAAGAGGGCCCAGGAGTCTGAATCTGGCCACTTGTGTGGCTTAAAAGGATGTTTTTAATTTGTCAACAATTTTGTAGTTATTTTTTGTGCTTCGAAATAATCATTGCTATTTTAAATTATCCCTAAAAAGAATAGACAGTATTTCCTGTTACAATAGGACCACTCTAGGGATGTTGAGACTCAGAAGAAAAGGACAAGTGAGTGAACGCCCCTATTTAAGACTGCCAGCCTCTGGGGCCCAAGGTGTGAGCTTCTCCATCCCAAAGCCCCAAATGCAAGTGTGGAAACCTTGGGCACAGAAACAATAGCATTTATTTTGAGGACTCAACTGATAGAGTAGATACACATCAGAAGTCTGATGGGTAGGGGTTAGACCTGATATTCTTTCCTTATTCCCTGAATCTATCATGTTTTGAAATGTTTGTGCATGTATATGTACATATAGAGACCCATATACATTTGTATGTGTGTATATATAGATACAGATCTATTTTTAATATACATTTTCAGCTTCTAACTCCAGGTGACAGGTTTGGTGCCTATACGTTTGTAAAGTCAACACTGTAGCTATTTTTCAGAGGTCATGTGATTGCACCAGGTCAAATATTCGGGGTGCCTTTTGGATGAAAGGTATGATAAACCCTAAGTGCCCAGAACAATTTCTGAGCCATTCATTCCATAAAGAAGGGCATTTTTAAGCTTGTAAAGGGCTCTTTTTGGCTTGTTCTGCAATATAACAGTTGGCATGAGCTCACTGTGGAGACCAGATGTTTGAAAGTTTAAAAGTGCTTGACCTCAGCTTGCAAGAAAAGATGGACACCTTGGAGGTGTGTCCCTCTGAGTTTTATATAATCCTGCAAATGGTTTTCAAAAGTAATCAGATTTCAATAAAGGATTAGCACCCAGAAAACAGGGTTGGGAAGCTATGGCTCACAGGCCAGAACTGGTCCATCCCTGACTTTGCCAAAAAAGTTTTATAGGGACACAGCCACGTCTATCTATTCACATATCGTTTATGGGTGCTTTCGCGCTACAAAGGCAGAGTTGAATAGGTGGGGTAGAGGCTATATGGCCACAAAGTCCAAAATATTTACTATCCGGCCCTAAACAATAAAAACAAATATGAACAACCCAATAGAAAACAAACAGGCAGAGGGAATGAACAGGAGATGCAGAGAAGGGCACGGCGCAAATCCAGGAGGCACCGGTGATCAGGTAGACTCAAATTTAAACTGCGCCTTGATTTCATCTCATATGCATCAGATTCGCAGATATTTAAGTCTTATAATATCAGATGTTGGTAGGATGTGGAGTAATGGGGTTTCTTATTCTCCGCTGAAGGAAGCACAAATAAAGACAGTCACTTTCGAGAGCCATTTGACAACATCCCATAATGGTGAGTGCACATAATCTATGACTAGGCAATTCTACTCCTAGACACACACACAAAGGAAATAAAACTTAGAGAAACTCTTGCATAGGTGAACAAGGAGACTTGTACAAGAATATTCACGGCAGCATTGTTAGAAAAAATAGAAATAAATTTAATATTAACAAGAGAATGGATACATAAACACTGGGTATGTTCTTTAAGTGGAACACAATATAGTAATGAAAATCAATTAACAAGAGCCACATATTTCGTGAACATGGATAAAGCTCACAGGTTGAGTGAAAAAAGCAAGCTGCAGAAGAGTACAGAATGCTATTATTTGTATTTGCAAAACCATACTACATATTGTTTAGGGATGCACACAGACGGAAGTATGAAAATATGCATGGGGACTAATTGCAGAGTTTAGGGAAGGGCTCACTTCCCAGGAAGAGGCAGGAGGGAAGGAATACGACTTGGGAGGGTACAAAATGGAGCGTCCTCTGCATTTGTAACGCTTAACATTTCTTAAGCCGGTTGCTGTGAACTCGGATTTTTGTTCTTTTCGTAAGTCAGAATTATTTCATAAGAAGTCAAATTCTGTGTGTTTGAAGACTTTTAATCCGATTGATCAATCATTATGGCACTACCTGTGAGCCCCCACAACCTCCACTTTTTGTTTCCTTGGTGGAGCACCTTGGCCCAGCCCCCCAGCAGGTAGGGCCTCAGCACACACATGTGCAGGTTCTGTATTTACAAGAGTGTCTGGGCGAGGCAGGGAGTGAGTGGGACCAAAGTCCAGTTTGTCCGCCAGTCAACAAGCCCTTTGCCCTTTGCAAAAAAAGCCCCGAGGTGAGCACCACCCGAAGGGGTTCCTTCTTCATTACCTGAGAGCGCCCTGCAGTGTCTGTAGAGGCACTGCAGCCGGCCCACTTCCTCTCACCCACCCTGTGGATGCCACAAATTTACTCGTCCACAGCCATGGAAAACTAGAAGGAGGAACCCGTCTGGAGGCAGAGTCTCTGTTAAGTTTATTTTTTGCTAGCCACCAAATTTTTTTCATCCCGATATTTTCCTGGGTCCTTATGGCTTACGTAAGAGCTGATTATTTTTCTCTAGCTATCTGGGCTAGTATCTTAAAAATTAGGGGGTTTTTTTTGGTTTTTTGTTTTGCTTTCTTGGGACATCTTATCCAAAAAGTGAAGACTAATTGACCAATTTATCTTTAATGCAAAGTACATATAATATAGCAACTATAAGAAATACTAACACTTTAACAGATCTTATCTCTTTTCTTCCCTACTCAAGTCCTTTGTTCCTGGTATTTTGTCTTGGACAAGCTGCAAATTTGAATCCTCCTTTCTTACCTTCTTCATCTGATAGATAACAGGAAGGTATTCTTCAATAAAATCTACATCTCTCCTTTCTCCAAATCTGAAGCTCTCCTTTCACCTAAGTTGCCGGCCCTAAGATCTTATTCCTTGGAAGCAAAGAATAAAGTTCTCCAAGTATGGTTCACGGGCCAACTGTATCACTTTCACATCATGTGCATCAAAATGCTGATTCCTGGGTTCCACCCGGGCCTATTCAATCACTTCGCATTTTTAATCAAGCTTTGCATGTGATTCTTACGCTTACTAAAGTTTAAAAACCACTACTTTATAACAAAGGAAATGAGTTATTTGGGCAAAATAAAATCAATCAATATAACATATAATTGTTATTTAAAAACATCAGAAGAAAGTGATATCTTGGCAAGAGAAATTGTCATCTTTCAGTGTTGTTCTGAAAGAGAGGTCTCAAAGGAACCAATTAAAGACATCAAATTTACAATTTTTCCTCACTTCACTTGCTCATGAGAGTTGCCAGGAAATAATGGAAATTATTTAGACAGTGGAAGGAAGCCAATTCAAGGAAGGCTCCAGGGGCTCCAGAGCGAGGGACCCAGGGGCCCAGGCGTTGCTCTGTGATGATCTTGGGCAGAGGGCAGTGTCTGAGAGCTTCAGATTTCTTATCTCCAAAGCCAGAGGGTTGTCCATACATCTGAAAGTTCTCTTTGAGACCTGCAATTAGAGGAAATACGTCATTCCCAAAACTTGAAGTCAAGGCATATCTGTTTTTACTGATCCTCTAGCATGTAAATAAATTTACTGTATGTTAGTCATGTGCCCAACTGGACATTATTTTTAAAGATAAGCTCCTGAATGCAAAGAAGATAGAAAGGTTTTATGTTAAACTTCTTACGTCTGCTTCAACTTGTTTCCATTTTCTTTATTTTCGCTTAGATGACAGGAGTAGTCAACTTAATGATAGGGACATTTTTAACCTGTCTGCCTTAAAATATTCTTGAAAAATGTCTCTAATATAGAGTAAAACAAGGCATAGTAGAAAGCAAGAAAGGAGCTGGCCGTAAAGCAGTGTTTGGTACGAAGAACGGTTCTGTGGGGTTTGTTAAGCCACGAGAGTCCATAGGAGGAAGGAGTGCTGACAGTTACCTAACACCGAAGGCGCTGCCGGCTTCTCAAGGGTAGTCACCTAGCACTCAAATGTTTTGTTGTCTGGAGAAATCGTCCAGTGTTCAGAAACACCAACCCCTTTGACCCTTACTAGATTCCCGTGTTTTAGGATTTTAAAGTATGTGAGCAAGCAGTCCGAAATGCCGTCACCAGGAGGGTTAATTGCTAAGACCTAACTACCAAGCGCCTATCAAGATAGGTATACAGATCTCAGGGGAAGTGGAGGCTTGTGGGAGAAGATGTTTTAAACTAACGTAGAGCTAAAAACCTAAATATTCATGTCAGATTAAGGGAGACTTTCTCCCTCCTCTTCCAAATCTTTTTTCCGTTTGCACAGCTCCCAAAGCCCTCGCCCTTTGAACAGTGGAGAGTCATTTGAAACTCAACCGAACGCTGGAGGCAAGTTCTACTTCTCAGGCCATCCAATTTAGGAGATCCAGTTTCTGCAGAGGAAGAAGATGGGTGGGGGAGGGAAAAATCAGACTCTCATCTTCAGATCCTTCCACCTTCAATCCGCAACCTGCCACCCAAATCGAGCCAAGTCAGGGATTTTGCCTTGAACCACCACCACCACCACCACCACCACCTTGTCACTCACGCCCGATAAACACGCCCCCTTGGTTCTTACCCTTGGCCAATGGCGGCTCCCCTCCTTGCATAGTAATGAGCTCGAGACCTCCCCGGGCCAATGGCGCTCCGGGAGCAGGGTTAGTTTTGCATGTACCTAAGTGATTTGCATACCCCGGCGGCCGAGGGCCTGGGAGCCCGAACGTGCAACCGTAGAAGGGAAAGGAGCGGGGAGGCGAGCGGCGAGAGAGCGAGCCAGAGCCCGGGTCGGGGCGCGGGCGGCGGGCTGGGCGCGGGCCGGCATGGCCGAGCGCTGCGCCCCGCAACCTTGAGAGCGGCGCGTGGAGGCCGGAGCGAGGCGGGGCGATGGCGGCGCGCGGCCCCCGCAGCCGCGCCCGGCCGGGCCGGCGGGCCTGAGCCGCCGCGAGCGGGCTGCCTCTGCGCTCCATGGAGCGGCGGCGAGGGCGACTCTCGGGAGCGCCGCGTCCCCGCGCCGCCGCCGCCGCCGCCGCCTGCTGAGGCCCGAGCCCCCCGCCGCCGCCGCGAGCAGCGCCCCCGCCCAGCCGGCCGGCCCCGGGGCGGGGGCGTCGAGGGCCGCGGAGGCCGCCGAGAGCGCGCAGCCATGCCGGGCCCGCTGCCGCTGCTCTGCCTGCTCGCCCTGGGGCTGCGCGGCGCGGCCGAGCCCAGCGGCGCGGCGCCTCCGCCTTGCGCGCCGCCCTGCAGCTGCGACGGCGACCGTCGGGTGGACTGCTCCGGCAAGGGGCTCACGGCCGTGCCCGAGGGGCTCAGCGCCTTCACGCAAGCGCTGTGAGTGCGGCCGGGCCGGGGGCCGGGGGGCGCGGGGGGGCGCGGGGCCGGGGCCGGCCCCGGGGCCCGGGGAGGGGTGCCGGCCGCCGGGGTGCTGCCTCGCTCCCGCCCGCGGCTCCCCGGACTTGGCCGGGGCGGTCCGAGCCGCGGGCAGCTCTCTTTCCCCCACTTCCCCCCCCCCCGCCCCCACCACGCACGTCCTGGACCGGGAGGAGGGAGGCACCTGGGAAGGCTCGCCCCGGCCGCCTTTCCCGCGACCTGCCCTGCTCCCTCGGGCCCTGCTCCGCGGCCGGAGCGCCGGGACCTGGCCGAGCCGGCGTTCGTGGGGAGCGCCCGGAGCCTGCTGGCCTCCAGCCTGCGCGGACAAGAAACACCTGCGCCGCGGGCAGGGCGACCCGCCTTCGTCTTGGCCCCCGGTGCGGTGCCACTCTGGGCTCCCCCGCGAGCGCCCGGGCTTCTGGAGGCGCAGGGGCCGGGCCGCAGAGCAGGGGGAGGGAGGGGACATGGCAGGTCTCTCCTGGGGAAAATACTCTCCTTGGCCAGGAGGCCCTTGACGAAGGCCCGCTGAGCCGGGTGCGGCGCGTTGGGGGAAAGCACGGCCCCGGAGCGCCTGCTCTGCCCGGTCCCCACGGGGCCGCGGGGCTCTGCGGGACTCGACCGGCAGAACTTCTCTTCCGAGCTGCCTGCGGCTGGGAAGATCGCTGAGATGGTGCTGACTTCGAAAACCTCCCTCCTCAAACGGGGACCTGGGCAGCTTTAGACGTTCCCCTCCGAAAAGGAGGGGAATCTGAAATAGGTGCTGGAGGTGGTGTTGGCAGAGGCCACCCATAGGGAAAGAAAGCACAGGGTGACTCCGGGCAGGGCTTGTGTCCCTCGCTGTCTTCGTGCTTCTGCTGGGTTAAATCAGAAGCAGGGAAAGGCTGCTTGAGAGAGGAGGGGATTCTGAGAGGCCTGGGTGAAGGGAAGGGCCTTTTACCTTATACTGCTGAAGGGGACCTCCGAGGACCGGACAGTTGTGGAGGAGCCCAGGCCTCGGGAAGAAATCCTTTCTGTGCAGGCCAGAGCGCGGCCGTGTTTCCAGGTGCCTGGTGGGAGGTGTTCTGCTTGCTCTCTGCCACGGGTTTTTACTGAGTCCTGAGGCCTGTTGCCTTGGACCCTGTCTCATTCTTTGGCCTCCAGCCTCCCTCCTGTTTTTTCCCCTGTATTGGGGGTTAGATATGTGTTTGAAGTCATTTTCCTTCAGTATGGTGAAATTTAACTTTCACTGAACAAAGTTAGCTTTGCAGTGAAGAGTGGTTTGTCCAGGGACCTGACCTGGGCGTGGGGAGGATGGAGGGAGCAAGGCAGGGCCGAGGGGGTGGGCTGTTTGTTTCCCCAAGCCCTGTTTCTTTGAGGGGATTCATACAGGAGAGGTGCCTTTACCTGAAATGTCTCAAGCCTCTCGAAAAGCATGATTTTACAGTTTTGACCAGTTGTAAAGACCTTCTTTAGCACACTCCTTGAGTTTGAATGAGTAGACTTGCCCTATAAGGAAAAGGGCTGTTTTACATCAGTACCTGAAACCACAAAGAAATACCTCATTTTTATGAGAGCAGCTTCTCTCTGGCAGGCATCTTCCCTCAGAACTCACCCAAGGTGGTGAAATGTTACATTGTCGCCTTTGAGCCTTACGGAAGTTACTCTCCATGACTTGGGAGACAGAAAAATACCTGGCAGCGGTCCAGGGTAGATTGCCTGAACTAGCATCATCCTAGCACTTTCTGAGCTGCTGTGGTGAGCGAGTGTGCTCTCTTTTCTTCATCCATTCATGACCTGTAGATAGAGTGATCCTACATCCTGATAACTACTTATTTCACCCGAATACTCTTCATTTCTCCCTCAAAAGTGTATATTATATGGTGACCCCATCTCAAGGGCATTTCAAGGGCAGTATATTTGCATTTTGGGGAATCAGCTAGTCCAGTGATTCTGAAAAGCCCTGTTGAGGAGGGGCAGGTGCTGCGGTGTGCACTCTCCCATTGATTTGGGATCCCTTGGGGTCTTTTCCCAAGTACTTCTGATCTGCTGTCCCATCCCAGTCTTCATGAGCTGTGGTCACCCCTAGGCACCGGATCTGGGGTCCCCAAACTTGTTCACCTCTTCCTAATTTCTGGAGCACGTGCACCAAGCCCTATTGAGATACACGTAAAATTGCAAGCACCAAAACAGAAGTTGAAAAGGTGAGACTGTAGTTATTACCCAAAATTCTTTTATATTCTCATTCCTCGGTGGAGTATAGTGCTTTCATCTCCCCCTGTGGTGTCCGCATCCCACTTTGGCGACCCCAGGACTGACCGGGCAGGGATTTATTTTACTCAGCTTGGAGTCCACAGAGCCTGGTACATAGGAGGCACTTAAAAATGTTGTCGCAAGTAAATAAGGACTTGAGCCCACAGCGAGGGGCAGAGCTGGGGCTCCTGCTCAGCCGTCTTTCCCACGCAGGATCGCCAGATTCAGCGTTCTCAGCCTCGGGTCTTTGTCCAGAGCCGAGGAGGCCCCAGAGGAAGAGTACCTGCCGCTTCTCCTTCAGGCTCGTTTCAACTTGTTCAGGCGACCAGTGTCTGTTTCCTGCTGGAAGCTGCCTTCTCGGAGTCTGGGGGCAGAGTCAGCTGCAACCCTCAGTGTTGTTGACGGGATTCCCATGTTCACACCATTTGCTGCACCTGTAGGGATTATTTATGTTTTGCAACAGCAGTTCTCAGTGCTTTGTCACAATGCACTGGCTTGTCACAGTTCACCTGGGGGTGTTTTAAAGGAAGTAATCTTACTTACTAGTATTAAAATTCCAAAGTTTATTTTAGGAAAAGGATTGAAGGTTATTCCTATATTAGTGGTGATAAGGTCACCCTTAATCACCCATGTTCCATGATTCCTGACTAGGGGAGAAAGGGAGGGGATTATGCACATCTGTCCTCTGGTTTGGGTGTTACTGCCACAAAGTCTGAGACCTGTAGACCTGGAGCACAGATTTCCACATCCTCCATTATACCTGGTGCACAGGTATTAAGATGATGAGTTGTGGAGACAGTGGTGGGTCTGAACCTTTCATCATAGTCTTTACCATGCCACCAAGTAATTGTGTGGCCTTGGGCAAGTGATTCTACTTTGTTTTGTGTGACAGTCTCCTCATCTGAAAAATGAAGTAATTGGATTCACTAATTATATCTAAGGCTGCTTGTAGCTTCCAGAAGTTCTATGATTTTATAATTCTTAATTTTAGGATGGCAAGGTGGCAACAATGTTTACAATCTTCTCATAAAAAGATCCCAGGAGTAGCAGAATACGTTGCTAGTTGAAGTTGCACAAGCCTATTTGTTACCGCTCGCTTGGAGGAGGCGTTCTTTGTCTTTAGAAGTGTGTGTTAGGAAATTTGCCATGGAGACTTTCTGCAGGATGCACGACTAGCTAAGGCGCTTTGCTGGGGGAGAACAGCCCTGCTTGTTTCCTGTGGCTATGGCTTAGCACTTGGAAAATAAAATCACTCAGTTTTAGTAATTTGGATACTGTACAAAAAGTTACTCAACGTCCTCACTTCCATATAATTAGTCATAATCTCTCCAACCTGCACAGTGTGCGTATGCTGTACACCAGCGGGTTATCGAGCTTTCTATGTGGAATGATGATGGTACCTGAGGGACTTTGAAGTGTTTTTAAAAATAATGTGTTGCTTTTACTCCTCCTTTTGGAAGCATCATCTCAGATTCTTCCCTGAGGTGTATTTTTTCACTGCACTGAACACCTTTCTTCTTTTAATAGTATCATTTGAAAATATTTTCTTATGTTTTCGCCAACTGTATTCCCTGGCAGGTCAGTAGTCAGTGGCTAACTGTTTATACCTTTTCTGATGGTAGATTTTGCTATCTCTTGATTTCTGATTTGCTGTCTGTAAATTTCGACATTAGCCTGGTTTGTGTAGTGTGCCTTCCTAGAGATGTATTAGTCTCACCTACAAGTGAACTTGGGCTAAACAAAGCCACCATATGAACATCTTTAAGTATAGATCCTTTATTTTACAAACTAGTGAACCATTGGGTTCTCTTTAAATACCAAGAACAGAAAGAACATTCTGCTGGGAATTTGGAGAGCGGTTTCCAGATCTGCCAATAAATCTTGAGCGACCTTGAGTGGGTGACATGCTTAACCCTGGAGGGCCTTGGTTTCTTCACCTGTAAAACAAGGAAGTAAACAACTCTTACTGCCAAGAATTTTCTTTCTATTTAACTTGATTTTGTTTTTTTATGCATTTCTAGGATCCTTTCTGTTGCATGAAGTGACATGTTGGTGTCTAAATCATGGAATCTCTCT